GATGGTAAAACCCAGCATTTTCCTCTCTCACCATGTTCAACTTAGGGATGACTCACCTGCCTAGGCTCCACAGGTATTTTCTTTTGTAACAAAAGATTGGAAATATTTCTCATCTCCATCCCAGAGACAAGTAGCTACTTATTCGAATAGTAGGATCTCTAAGGATAGCAGGACACAGGACCTGTTTAAGTTGCCAGGAAGGTATCCACAACTGAACTGAAAAGAGACACCTATACTCACGATGTTTGATGTGACAGGAGGAGGAAGAACTAGCCTACTCCCTGCTCTGGGGCTCACCTCCAGTGAAGGTCTGTCTTTCTTCCCTGACTCTCACCATCCATAATGTCAAAACAAAATACCCACCGTCCCCTTTCAGGGAGGGCCAGAGACTAGCCCAACTACACCTTAACTCTGTCATCAACTCTACATGGCTGTTAGTACTAATAGGCCTGGATCTTGGTAATAACCATTGTAGAAGCAAGGAAAAAAAGAAAACTCATGCTCTAAAATGTAAACAAATATTTATTTTGTGATGGGGTTATACGAGTAATTTTTTCTGTGCTTTTATTAACTTCTAAAAATATTTTTCAAGATAAAAAAAAACTTTAATTTTGGCTGGCTAAGTCATCATTTCATTAAAATCTTGTGAAGGCTATAAGGGGCTGAAAACTCTGGAGTGAGATACATGCCTTAATAAACTAAGACTTGCCAAAACCGGTTTGGCTCAGTGGAAAGAGCGTCGGCCTGCGGACTGAAAGGTCCCAGGTTCGATTCCGGTCAAGGGCATGTACCTGGGTTGCGGGCACATCCTCAGTAGGGGATGTGCAGGAGGCAGCTGATCGATGTTTCTCTCTCATCGATGTTTCTGGCTCTCTATCTCTCTCCCTTCCTCTCTGTAAAAAATCAATAAAATATATTTAAAAAAATAAATAAAAAATAAAATAAAATATATTCGACATTTAAAAAAAAATAAAATAAACTAAGACTTATCTTTTAGACTAGACCATGAAAACAGACTTGTCCAAAAAAATCTGTCAATTCTTCTTGTCTACTGTTAGTCTACATGGTTATTCAAACATTTCCTCTGAATTCAATACACTGTACATATTTTAAAAATAAATTTTGTCTCAATAACAACTGAAGGGTACTGTGAATCATGCAATAAATGGGAACTCATTCTATTTTCAACTATATTTAATGTTGTCCTTGCAACTGTAAGAGAAATAACTTTTAAGGATACCTGAAAGCCTTCAAATAAAGAATACTGACAGAAAGGACTTATTAAGAAAATAAAGAATCAAATTTCAAAGACAGTTTAGAAACCCTGATCTGAAGTGGACAAGAGACCACATATTCCAAGAGAAACATCACACCTTTTGAAGACACATCTCATGAAGGGGTCTTTTAGGACGGTGTTTACTTTTTCCTCCTTCACTTTACAATGGAAAATTTCAAGCATAAGAAAAATACAACCTTCCAAAACTCAATCAGGAAGAATCTAAAAATCTCAATAGGCTGATAACCATGCAAGAAATTGAATCAGTCATCAAAAAGCTTCCAGCAAACAAAAGCCCGGGGCCAGACAGCTTCATAGGGGAGTTTTACCAAACATTCAAGGAAGAACTAAAACCTATCCTCCTTGGACTATTCCAAAAAATTCAAGAGGAAGGAACACTTCCAAGCTCATTCTATGAATTCAGCATCACCCTAATACCAAAACCAGATAAAGACAACACAATGAAAGAGAATTACAGGCCAATATCCCTCATGAACACAGATGCCAAAATCCTCTACAAAATTCTAGCAAATCGGATCCAGTAGTACATCAGAAAGATCATACACCATGACCAAGTAGGATTTATCCCAGGGATGCAAGGCTGGTACAATATTCGCAAATCAATAAACGTGATATATCACATAAACAAATTGAGAGATAAAAATCACATAGTCACATCAATTGATGCAGAAAAAGCATTTGACAAAATCCAACACCTTTTCTTGATAAAAACTCTCAGCAAGGTGGGAAGAGAAGGATTATACCTCAACATAATAAAAGCCATATATGACAAACCCACAGCCAACATCATACTCAATGGGCAAAAACTAAAACCATTTCCCCTAAGAACAGGAACAAGACAGGGATGCCCACTCTCACCACTCCTGTTCGACATAGTACTGGAAGTACTAGCCATTGCGATTAGACAAGAAGAAATAAAAGGCATCTAAATTGGAAAAGAAGAAGTAAAACTGTCCTTATTCGCAGATGACATGATACTGTACATAGAAAACCCTAAAGACTCCATCAAAAAATTATCAGACTTAATAAATGAATTCAGCAATGTAGCAGGATACAAAATTAACGCCAAGAAATCTATAGCATTTCTATACACCAATAGTGAACTTACAGAAAGAGAGATAAAAAAGCAATCCCATTTACCATTGCATCAAAAAAAAAATAAGATACCTAGGAATAAACTTAACTAAGGAGGTAAAAGACCTGTACGCGGAAAACTATAGGACACTGAAAAAAGAGATAGAGTAAGACATAAACAGACGGAAGAACATACCGTGTTCATGGATTGGTAGAATCAACATCATTAAATGTCCATACTACCCAAAGCAATCTATAGATTCAATGCACTCCCCATTAAAATACCAATGGCATATTTCACAGACCTAGAACAAAATTTCCAAAAATTCATCTGGAATAAAAAGAGACCCCGAATAGATGCAGCAATCCTGAGAAAGAAGAACAAAGTAGGTGGGATCTCAATACCAGATATAAAGCTGTATTACAACGCCACTGTTCGCAAAACACCCTGGTACTGGCACCAGAACAGACATATAGATCAATGGAATAGAATAGAGAACCCAGAAATCGACCCGAACCACTATGCTCAATTAATATTTGACAAAGGAGGCATGAACATACAATGGAGTCAAGACAGTCTCTTCAATAAATGGTGTTGGGAAAATTGGACAGATACATGCAAAAAAAATGAAACTAGACCACCAACTTACACCATACACAAAAATAAACTCAAAATGGATAAAGGACTTAAACATAAGACAGGAAACCATAAAAATACTAGGAGAATCCATAGGCAGCAAAATCTCAGACATATGCCGAAGCAATTTCTTCACTGATACTGCTCCTAGGGCAATGGAAACTAAAGAGAAAATAAACAAATGGGACTACATCAAAATAAAAAGCTTCTGCATAGCAAAAGCAAGCATCAACAAAATAACAAGAAAGCCCACTGCATGGGAGAACATATTTGCAAATGTTATCACCAATAAGGGTTTAATCTCCAACATTTACAGGGAACTCATACAACTTAACAAAAGGAAGATAAACAATCCAATCAAAAAATGGGCAAAGGACCTAAATAGATACTTTTCGAAAGAAGACACAAGGAAGGCCAAGAGACGTATGAAAACATGCTCAAAGTCACTAATTATCCGAGAGACGCAAATCAAAACGACAATGCAGTACCATCTCACACCTGTCAGAATGGCTATCATCAACATATCAACAAATGACAAGTGCTGGTGAGGATGCAGAGAAAAAGGAACCCTGTGCACTGCTGGTGGGAATGAAGACTGGTGCAGCTACTATGGAGAACAGTATGGAGTTTCCTCAAGAAACTAAAAATGGAACTCCCATTTGACCCAGTGATTCCACTTCTAGGAATATATATGCCAAGTAACTAGAAACAACAATCAGAAAGGATATATGCACCCCTATGTTCATAGCGGCACAATTCACCATAGCTAAGATTTGGAATCAGCCTAAGTGCCCATCAGCAGATGAGTGGATTAAAAAACTGTGGTACATCTATACAATGGAATACTATGCTGCGGTAAAAAAGAAGGAATTCTTACCATTTGCAACAGCATGGATGGAATTGGAGAGCATTATGCTAAGAGAAATAAGCCAGTCAGAGAAAGATAAGTATCACATGATCTCACTCATTAATGGAATATAATGCACAACATAAACTGATGAACAAAAACAGATCCAGAGACAGAGAAGCATCGATCAGACTGATCAGACCGTCAAACCTCAGAGGGAAGGTAGGGGAGGGTGGGGGTAAGGGGGAGAGATCAACCAAAGGACTTGTATGTATGCATATAAGCCTAACCAATAGACCCAGACAACGGGGGGATGAGGGCATGAGTGAGGGGGGGGGGGTAATAAGGACACATATGTAATACCTTAATCAATAAAGAAATTTTTAAAAATGTAGACAGAATAGTGTAATGAATCCCTGTGCACCCATCATCCAACCTTAACAATTATGAACTCATGGCCAGTCTTGAATCATCTATCCAAGTTCCTTCCAATTATTTTGAAACAAATCCTAGATATATTACTTTATCTGTAAATACTTAGACATGTTCTCTAAAATATCAGATTTTTTTTTTATTGATACAAGATTGGTGTTTATTTTGTATTCTCCCCCACACACTGTCTCTAATTAGCGATGAAATAATTCTGAAAACTAGTTGCATACAAAAAGGTTAGTCTTATTTTGTTTTACATGCCAAATGGAAAGGAATTCCTACCTGAGTATTTAACATTACTACTCATTTTATCACACTGGCCCTAACTCTTTGAGGCCACAAGTTCAAGTCCCAGCTGAGGACTCTATTCCTTGATGAGAATAAGGGGAGTAATAAAACTGTGTGGTAGTGAAACAAAGGAGGGGTAGAGTGCCCCCACTTTTACATTTACTGGCACTAATAAAAATGACCTCCGTGAAGGAATGATGGGGGGAGCCCCACAAATCAGAGGTCTCTCAGCCTCAGCCCAGAAATAGAAACGCTTTGCTTTTAAAATGGCTGCTGCCTCAGGAATGATTATTAACAGGCTTCAAAGACCAAGGATGGGACACCTCCCTCAAAATCCTTGTAGAAACACTAAAAGAAGGGAAAGGAAATAAAATACTGGGCTTTCACTTTTAGATGGAAACCAAAACCAATTAGATGTCAGTTACCTTATAGCGTGTTTGTTCCACATCATAGATCTTTTTCTCCGATACCATTTTTGGGGCAAAGAACTTGGCTAACTTTGCCAGGTAAACTCCGTTCCGGAGCCCTTCCTCCAGCTCAGTGGTTGGTGGCAATTCTTCAACTAAGCAGACTTCCATCCACCTACAGGGATTAAAAAACACAACAAAACGTTACAGTGACTCCAGTTGGGTGACTTTCCAAAGTGAAGAGCTGCAGCGTCTCCCTGGGTGTGATGGAGGCAGTAACAAAGGGAACAGCTGTAGGTGTCACAGATGGAAAGAGAGGACTTTCTGGGTGGGGCAGGGTCTCAGAGCACAAGGTGAACAAGGGGCCCAAGCCCAGAGGCTCTGAGCTCACAGCCATGCCAGAGCTTGTCAACTTCACTTTAGTCTGCGTTTTTACTAATTCTCATTTGTACCAAAGGGGAAAAAGGCCAAACCATTTTGTATGGGTGGAATTAGTCCTGCTGACATTACAGAAAAAAATAATTCCAGTTAACGAGCCTTTTGTGGACGAGATTCTTAGAGGGGTTATGTCTCTGGGAGAGCATAATTCAAGGTGCTGCTAAACCTGCAATTGCCTCAGTCCAGAAATGACTACCAGGACAGATAGGAAGGCATGGAAAGGAACATTAAAATTCAGAAAGCGGACTTGGTCTTCTTTAAAACATACACATTCCTTTTTCTAATACCAGGAACCTACTACATAACCTTTTTGGAAAGGTACAGTATTTACCGGGCTCTGAAAAAATACTTCAGAACAAGATCAGATTAAATCTTAGGACACTGAGCCAGTATTGCAGAGAAGAGAGCATCAAGGTCATTACTGGCTCAAGGACACACAGTGGGAGGGAGCCAGGCCAGTTCCCATTGCACACTGGTATGCCGAGAATCTGCCAGTTATGAGGATAATGCCATTCCTACCCATGCTCAAGGAACTATATTCCCTACTATAATATCCAAGAGGCAGGTGTACAGGCTCTCAGTGGGGGAGCCCCCCACTTCCCTGCAACCGATCCACCAACAAATCATAAACTCCTAGTATGAGCACCATACCATATAGCCAGTCCCCCAGAGGATCATTAACACAACAGCAGCCAATCCTATCAACTTTGGCGGACACGGGAGCACTGTTCTGCAATATTAACAAGTGATCCCAAATCCAAGCAGCAGACCCTGTACAATGTCTGAACTGCCTGTAGCTCTGGACAGCATCTTTTAAAAGCTCAAAGAGCCCCTAATAAGCAAGGAGTATTTACTAACCACTTATTAGGCACTGTAAAACATGGAATATATGAGAAAAACATAAACATAAGCCCTGCTTTCAAAAAGCATCAAATATTGCAAGGAAAAACCCGAGAATCATATACAAGAGGCAATTATGCTCAATGCTACGTGTTGGTTCATAAGAGGAAAAAGTTGGGGAACAGGATGTGGGGGGTTATCACTGGAGTAGTAGGGAAAACATCACAAAGGTGGTAGAATCTCAATTTGGTCTAGAAAAATGAGTATTTGGAAAGGCAGGAGGAACAGCAGAGCCAGGGAGCAGGACAGACTAAGGGCACAAAGGACACATGGCTGCCTCGTGGAGAGAACCCAGAGAAGACTTGGGGCCTTTGGGGTTCAAGAGGAGAAAGGAAATGAGGCTGGGCACTTACAGGGAAGTTGGGCCTGGAGGAGGGAGCACCATAAGAGAAGTGTTGATATTTGCTGCCACAGGAAGCAGAGCTCCTGCAGCTTGGGAACAGAGGGGCGACATGCTGACAGGGGTAATTAGAGAAAATTAATCTTGTGCGCTGGATGTCCCAGAAACAAAGCGCTCTGTCAGGCTTTCCCCACTGTGAGAAACTGGGGGACGAGATTAGACAGGAAGAAACGGGGAGGGAGGAGACCAAGAAACACTTCAAGGAAACAGTAACAGGACTTGGTGACAGCTCAGAAAAGGGGGTAGAAGGAAGAGAAACATTACCAGCCAGGGAAAGGGGCCTGGTGTGAAGGGAGCTCTCTACACCAGGGTTCAGTCCACCGTGATTCCCCGAGCATTCCCTAACTGCTCTGGTCCAGTTTTCTCCTCTGCTAAAGCGGGGGAGAGTGAGAAGGCTGGGATGGTGCCCCAGCTCTAACATTCTAGCAAGACTATGAGACTGGCAGAGCAGAACAGGTAAAAGGAGATGACGAACGTGGCTTTCACGTATCATACACAAGGTAAACAAGGGATGTTTGGTTTATATGAGCCTTGTTTCAATAAACTGAAGTAAGACTGCCAAAGACTTGAAAATTTTAAAAACAATTAAGAAATCAATAATGTTGCCTTCTTAATAAAAATCTGGCCAAGTTAAAAGCCACTGCACTAGACTGAGTTTCTAATCTAACTCCACTACAAATTATAGCATTAACTATGTATTTTCAAACAATTATCTTAAAAATTTTAGGAAATTGTTTTTTTACACAGCAATACATAATTGCTTTATAACAATCCTGTAATTGGGGTACAAGCATGAGGAATGGGGGACAGGTAAATGGACACTTGGTAGCAGCATTCGGGGGAGATAAGTTATTAATTAGAAGACAGGGGCTGGAAACTAAAATACCAACACCTTGGAAATATGATGATTTAAACGTGGACTTGTTAAAAAAAAAAAGACAATCACATTTATTTTTGTTTATATTAGAATACACGTGCAGTTGGCTTCAAATACCAATGACACCAAAAAACGTAGGTTAGCTACAGCCTATCCTATATCCTATTTAATAAAAGGGTAATGTGCAAATCAACCAAACAGCAGAATGACTGGTTGCTATGATGTGCACTGACCACCAGGGGGCAGATGTTCAATGCAGGTGCTGCCCCCTGGTGGTCAGTGCGCTCCCACAGGAGGAGCACTGCTCATCCAGAAGCTGGGCTCACAGCTGGCAAGCACAGCGGCAGTGGCAGGAGCCACTCCCGCCTACGCAGCAGAGCTAAGGATGTCCGACTGATGGACATCCCCCGAGGGCTCTCCGACTGTGAAAGGGCACAGGCCAGGCTGAGGCTCCCCCCCCACCCCCGGTGCACGAATGCTGTGCACGGGCACCTCTAGTTTAGAATATAGCCATTGCTAATGCTTATGACAGTACGAACTGCTCCAAGGCAAAAAGCATCTTTTTCTTTATAAACCCTTGTGCCTGCCAACATGGTTACATATAGCAGGTACCTAATAAATTTTTATTAAATAAAGGATTCTTCCTACTTAAGAAAAATGTTTCAAGCATCACAGTTAAAATCTTTTAGATGTGGCCAAGGATTTGTAAATGCAGCATTTTTCAACTTTAGGCACCAATGGAGATACCTTTTCACTGCCTTGAAAGTCAAAACATGATGTTATTATCATCAATGATAACTAATATTTATTAAGTACTATTTTGTGCTAGAACTGGGATTTAATATTTTATGGGGATTAATCCTTAAGAGCACCCCAAAAGGAAAAAGTATTGTTAGGGTCACCATTTACAGATAATCTGAGGCTCAGAAAAGCCCAAGGCCACACATCTAGTAAATGACAAATATAAAAAAAACTGCCAGGGGCTTCTGCTCCTCCTATTTTAACTTAAAAAATATATATATATATATTTCAGAGAGAGGAAGGGAGAGGGAGAGATAGATAGAAACATCAATAGTGAGAGAGAATCATCGATCAGCTGCCTCCTGAATGCCCACTACTGGAGATGGAGCCTGCAACCCAGGCATATGCCCTGACCAGGAATTGAACCAGTGACCTCCTGGTTCATGAGTCAACACTCAACCAGCCATACTGGCCGGGCTCCAATTTCAACTTTTAACTTCTCACAACTCAAGAAACAGAAGAACGAATCCTCCAGTCCAGTCCTACAGCCCCATGTAAAACAAAAGTGATAACAAACACTCCAGTCTACTCCCGGAGCAGCAGTAGGAGTTCCATGGTTTGGAGATGTCACTCTTCTAATGTAAGGCCAGAGGGTAGTATAGTCACTCTCAGAGTTGAGTAAATTTCCTGGGGTTTCTTATTTTCTTTTTTTAGAAGTTCCTCCTTGTCACTTCTTTGCTATCTACCCTGCAATAGTAAATGGCCTGCACTGCCTCAGTGGGTGCTGTTGCAAGCAGTAGTTAGATATGGGAAGCTTAGAGGTGATCCAGATACAGTCACCTCCTCAAGAACTCCTGCAAACCGAGACAGGATTGCAAAGAGTCTTCTCAGTAAGGTTACATGAGAAAGAATTAAACTCCTACCAACACCAACCTCAGTAGCTCATCTGTTAACACAAACCAATAAAAACTCCAAGTGTGGTTTTTATGGTCGGTTGGGGTCAAACTTCCTACAAAGGTCACAGTGTAGAGACACCTGGCCTGATGTTCAGGAAGTCTGGCTCTGTGGTCCCCAGCTTACTGTACTGGGACGGGTCTAAAATTATAATGGAATTCAATGACAGTGTAATTATGTAACATGATTTTGTTTTGTTTATTTTTTTTGTTTTGTTTATTAACAATTTTATAAAGAAATAATCCACACACCATACACTCACCCATTTAAGCTGTACAATGCGATGATTTCTTAGCACAGTCACAGGGTTGTGAGACCATCACTATTCCCAGTTTTAGAACATTTTCATCACTCCAAAAGGAAACCCGTTACTCATTCGCAGTCACATCCCATTCACCCACAGATTCCCAATCCACTAAATCTTTCTTTCTATGAATTGCCTTTTGGATATTTCATATAAATGGAATCACACAAATAGACATTTGCTATCTCAGGTGGCCTTTTGTGACTAGCTTCTTTTACTTGCCACAAAATTTTCAAGGTCCATCTATGGTATAGGATGTATTAGTACTGCATTCCTTTTTATTGCTGAATAATATTCCACTACATAGGGATATTCCATTTTATTTATCCATTTACCAGTTATTTTATCAATATATGGGTTTTCCCCGCTTTTTGGCTAGTATAATATTGCTTAAACATTAGTATCGAAGTTTTTGCATGGACATATGTTCTCATTTCTCTTGGGTATATACCTAGAAGTAGGATGTTTAATCTTTTTAGGAACATCCAGACTATTTCCCAAAGCAGCTTCAATATTTTATATTCCCACCAGTAGTGTATGAGGATTCCAATTTCCCTACCT